AAATTGATCTCAATATAATAGACACGATTGAAAGAATAAACTGGTATGGACACTTACATGAAATGCAATAAAATATAGACGGCCAAAAAGATAGTAAAATGGACTTCGCCAGTATAAAAACGAGTTAGAATAAGACGGACAAGGTCCACTCCTGGACATAGGACTTCCCTTAGTATTGACGAGCGCTCCAAAGTATAAAATTTCGTTAATTGTTGATTCCGTCATTACAGCGTTTGCCAACAATATTAATATCAGCACAGGCAAGGATTTGTGTTATTGAACTTTTTCAAGGGTTAGTTTCGTTAAACTTACCAACTAGGCGAGGGGCGAATCGCAAAAAGATTAATATGGCCTATATCTCGTTATCAACGACCAAATTTGGTACTAAAATGTTCGTAATAAAAATCTGAAGAACTTTTAATATTTTTTTTATTGGGGTGGAGGATATGTAAATAACCATGAAAAAAGCAAACATTTTGACTTTATAACTTTATTACAATTTTAATGTTTATTTATGTGATAAATAACAACTGTTTAAAACAAATTTTATACTTAAAGAGCTGCTTCTCTAGAGTGTCTTTTTGAATGCGATTTCAAATATTGTGCTCGACTATATTGCTTAAAACAAATTTCGCACTTGTAACAACCTGCTCGACAATTACGGATAAGTAACATACTAATTGACCATGTAGAATCTTATGTGTACCTTGGCACCAACAATGCAAAATGGGAACAGACCATAGAAATTAAGGCGAGAATAGAACGAGCTAGAGCAGCATTTAGCAATATGAAAAAGCTCCTCATAAGCAAGGATTTGTCTCTGCCCCTAAAACTACGTCTAGTTTAAATGCCTACATTTTTCCGATCTTGCTGTATAGCGTGGAGGCCTGGACGCTGACGGAGACGCTAACAAGAAAACTAGAAGCATTCGAAATGTGGGTGTACGACGCATTCTTCGTATATCCTGGACCGAACATGTCACCAACATAGAGGTGCTCCAAAGAATCGGAAAGGAGAAAGAGATCGTGAATACAATTAAACAAAGAAAGCTTGAATATCTAGGACACATATTGAGACACGATAAGTACCGTCTGCTACAATTGATTGTCCAGGGAAAAATAGACAGTAAGCGAGGGCCAGGCAGGAGAAGATACTCGTGGCTCCAAAATCTGCGGAAGTGGTTCGGGCTCACATCGTTCGAACTATTCAGAAGCGCCGCAAACAAGATCAAAATTGCCATGTTAATAGCCAACGTTCGCAACGGACAGGGCACTTGAAGAAGAAGGTTTTTTTCCAGTGTGAGTCATCATATGTGATTTCAAAGTACATGCGGCAGTAAACTGTTTAAAGCAAATATCACACTTGTAAGGTTTTTCTCCCGTGTGTATTCTCAAATGTGATTTTAAATTAATTGCCTGAGTCAATTGTTTAAAACAAAGATCACACTTTTAAGGCTTTTCTTTGGTGTGTGTTCTCAAATGTAATTTCAAATACTTCGCTGTAGTAAACTGCTTGAAACAAATTTCGCACTTGTAAGGCTTTTCTCCAGTGTGTATTCTTAAATGATATTTCAAATAACTCGCTGTAGTAAATTGCTTAAAACAAATACCACACTTGTAAGGTTTTTCTCCAGTATGAGTCATCAAATGTAATTTCAAAACACGTGCTTCTGTAAACTGTTTAAAGCAAATATCACACTGGTAAGGCTTTTCTTCAGTGTGAAGTCTTAAATGTGATTTCAAATTCCTTGCGACAGTGAACTGTTTCAAACAAATATCACACCTGTAAGGCTTTTCTTCAGTGTGAAGTCTTAAATGTGATTTCAAATTCTTTGCGGCAGTTAACTGTTTCAAACAAATATCGCACTTGTAAGGCTTTTCTCCAGTGTGCATTCCCAAATGCAATTTCAAATTAGTTGCCTCAGTAAACTGTTTAAAGCAAATATCACACTTATAAGGCTTTTCATCAACGTGTGTTCTTAAATGTGATTTTAAATGACTCGATGTAATAACCTGCTTGAAACAAATTTCGCACTTGTAAGGTTTTTCCCCAGTGTGAATCATTACATGTGATTTCAAATTACCGGCTTGACTAAACTGCTTCAAACAAATTTCGCACTTGTAGGGTTTTTCTCCAGTGTGAGTTCTCAAATGTAATTTCAAATGACTCGTTGAGGTAAACTGCTTGAAACAAATTTCGCACTTGCTAGGCTTTTCTTCAGTGTGTACTCTCAAATGCAATTTTAAATTAATTTCCTCAGTAAACTGTTTAAAGCAAATATCACACTTGTAAGGCTTTTCTTCAGTGTGAAGTCTTAAATGTGATTTCAAATTCTTTGCGGCAGTGAACTGTTTCAAACAAATATCACACTTGTAAGGCTTTTCTTTAGTATGTGTTCTTAAATGTGATTTTAAATGGCCCGATGTAGTAACCTGCTTGAAACAAATTTCGCACTTGTAAGGATTTTCTGCAGTGTGAATCATTAAATGTGATTTCAAAGTACCGGCTTGACTAAACTGCTTCAAACAAATTTCGCACTTGTAGGGTTTTTCTCCAGTGTGAGTTCTCAAATGTAATTTCAAATGACCCGTTGTGGTAAACTGCTTGAAACAAATTTCGCACTTGCAAGGCTTTTCTCCAGTGTGTATTCTCAAATGTGATTTTAATTGATTTGATGTAGTAACCTGCTTGAAACAAATTTCGCACTTGTAAGGTTTATCTCCAGTGTGCATTCTCAAATGATATTTCAAATAACTCCCTGTACTAAATTGCTTAAAACATGTATCGCACTTGTAAGGCCTTTCTCCAGAGTGCATTCTCAAATGTTCTTTCAAATGAATTGCTTGAGTAAATTGCTTAAAACAAATATCACACTTGAAAGGCTTTTCTCCAGTGTGTGTTCTCAAATGTATTGACACGTTAAATCGCTGAGAAAATTGTTTTAAACAAATTGGACATGTGTAAGGTCCTTTGCCAGTTTGAACTTTTATTTTTTTATTTAATATTTTGTCTTCAGCGTATCTACCCAAATCCTTTTCTTTATGAGATGAATGTTCAAGTGTTTTCATAATTTTCATTTGGTTCTCATTCTGCAAACAACCTAAAATATATATCAACTGTAAGCATTTTATGATAAAGAAAAATTTATACAGAAACTAATATAAAACAAGAATAAAAAGTAATCAAAGTATAGAAGAGAAGTCTAATATAGAGTATGCTTAAAGAAATGGAAGATGAATACACCCAGTGGGGCCTTATAATTAATATGCAAAATACTGAGTGCTTAGTGGCAGCCAAATAATCAGAAAGCTGAAACTGAATCCTTCAAATACTTGGGAGTTAAAATAACATTAAAAGCAGGGAGTAACAAATAAATACATTCCAGGATTAACCAAGCAAGATGAGCCACTAGATAGCTATACCATTATTCAAAGTAAAATACTAAATATCTGTTTAAAACAAAAAAAGTAGATGGTATAGAAATATATTTTATCAGAAGAACTTCCAGAATAGAAAATGTACTTGATAAATAAATTAGAAAATGCACCAATATCAAAAAGGATACAAATATGGCAATTGATATGGTCTGTGAAGAGGATGGGGGATAAAGGGGGAAGGAGTAGATGACCAAAAAATCTATTGACTATGAGCCTAATTAAAAAAGGTAATAAAGATCAGTATCATTCAGTATTAGTAATATTAATATTTAGTAATTATAATTACTATTATAATAATTAAAATTTGGACTTTTATTTTCAAGTACAAGTCCAAAACAATGCTGTGTTTTTCAACATTTCATTCAACGAAAATATTTACTAAAATGCCCCTTCGTATGTTTTTGGTGTACCAGAAAAATATAATGCTATTGGTTAGAGGCTGAACAGAATTATTATGATTTTATTACTGATATTCATGTATGAAAAAAATTCAAATGTACAACATGTGCTTTCATACATACAAGAAAATAATATCTGATAATACTTTATCTCATTTATGGAAGCTATTCAGAAAAATGATAACAAACTTACTAAGACCTAAGTTGTGCAATTACTAGTTAATCAGGAGGATTTTAATAGAAAATGCAAATTTAAAAAGAAAAATACACTGAATATAATGGACATATTCACTGTGCATTCATGGACTTTCAGGTTTTGGAAACAAAAGTTAAAACCAATCATAAATATATGAAAAACCAGCATTATTAACTTTGCAAAATCTATATTATTTGACTTTCTGTCTCACCTGCTTGCTTTTCCTCTGATTCATTCTTTAAATCTTGAAGTATCCTTGATGTGGATAGATAATTCTCTATATATTTTTGTTCGTCTTCTGCAAGCTCTTTCTCCTTTTCAATTTTAACTTCCATAGCTAAAAAACAAATTTAATGAAAATTGAAAAATTTATTTATTTTTATCACTACTAGTCTCACCTGGGTAACCATCAACTGGTTCATTTTTTAAGATTTGGAGATCGACTGATGATGATAGGGAATATTCAGGAACCTCTTTCTTAATTGCAATCTTAACTTCCATAGCTAATAAACGAATAACATCAAATTGTAAGTAGATAGTGCAGTGTGTATAAGCAGCACCCTTAGATAAATAATATAATAGATAATACTAGAAAGCAGTACCTGTGTAAGAGACTATACGTTGATTGATACCACAAAGACAACAATTAATAATATTGTAAATGAAATAGGATAGGTGGGTATAGTAAATTGGGACTTCTTCATATTGGTGCAATGAACATAACCTGGCATCCAGCTATATGTTTGTGTGACACAGTGTGCCACTTTTTTTGTATAAAGTATAGGAGTGTTTAAAATAGAAAGATACTTTGACGAAATTATATATGCTTTAAAAACTTATACAGAAGTAAAATGCTTCACATTTGTATTTAGGTATATACTTAGGTAAATGTGAAGTGTTTTACTTCTGTAAAATGTAAAAATGTACACGCCACAGCCACAATTTTTGAATTCATATTAAAAAGCATTCATAAAATAGTATTTTTTATTTTAAATATAGCTAAATACTTTTGTTTAACCTAATTTTTTTTCATTTAACTTTACTTTATTCTGTAATTTATAAAGTTTCTAAACTATTAATTTTTAAGCATAATTATAATGGTTTTTATTATATAAGTATTTTTAAATGTAGAAATGCAAGATATAATTTTATTTTATAATATTTATAGGTATAATTTTAATGAATTATATACCTATGTATAGGTAAAAATATATATATTTTTCACATTTTTGTTTAATTATATATGTATTTTTCAATTTTACATTTTCATTTCATACAATATAAATCTTGCCAATAACTTTATATGTGAGAGTGGGAAATATTTGAGTATATGGCAACACTGACGTATATTAAGCTTACATTTAACGTCAAACATATCAACGAGGTTATGTTCATTGCACCAATATTGAAGAAGTCCGTAAATTGCACGGGTCCACCGGTGGCAATGACGACGGCGCTGTTCAAGTTAGGTGGGGTATGACCATCGAGCAATAAGACAAAAGAGGGAATCTAATCGTTATAAAAAGGAGACAAAAAAGTGGCCTCTGATGGCGGACACATCCGGAAATGCAAAGGCGCTAAATTTAAATTTTCCAACACTTGTTAACAATACCTGTAAAATATTTTTCAGACAAGAAAGTTTTAATTAAATATCAACGATAATAGTCTAAAAAGTGACATAATTGGTAAAAAACTTCAATATGAATAAAATTTCATGTGACAGTTGGGACAAACAATAACATAACCAAACTAAATTTGACTTCTTAAACAAGGAAAGAGACTGTCTTTCCTTGTCTAAAGTGGCCTCTCAAGATGGCACTTCCTGTCTATCAATATGTTTACCCCTTCTACCTTTACATTCCCTCTTTTGTCTTATTGCTCGATGGGTATGACATAGCAAGAGTGTGCCACAAATAAACTTATTAGTGGTCTGTGTATCTAAAGTATTGTAGTGAAGCATCTAGAGGTAGGTTATTTGCGCAGTAAGTAAATGGAATGAATTTGAATGTAGCATTCTCAGTGACATCATTCCTGCCATTAGATTCTCGTCACTGATTGGCGTAAAGTTACCAGAAAACCTGTCTGTTTACTCCATCGAGCAATAAGACAAAAGAGGGAATGTAAAGGTAGAAGGGGTAAACATATTGATAGACAGGAAGTGCCATCTTGAGAGGCCACTTTAGACAAGGATAGAGAGTCTCTCTCCTTGTTTGACATCAAATTTAGTTGGGTTATGTTATTGTTTGTCCCCAATGTCACATGAAATCTTATTTATATTGAAGTTTTTTAACAATTGTGTCGCATTTTAGACTCTTATCATTAATAATTAATTAAAACTTTCTCGTCTAAGACACATTTTGAAAAATATTATATAGCTACTGTTGATAAGTGTCGAAAAATTTAAATTTGGCGCCTTTGCATTTCCGGATGTGTCCGGCATCAGAGGCCACTTTTTTGGTCTCCTTTTTATAACGATTAGATTCCCTCTTTTGTCTTATTGCTCGATGGTTTACTCACCTTGGACTTTGACAAACTACCATCAGTGCTGACAACGAACATTACGCTGGAACGAGACTAGCAGTGCCACCAAACGAAAGGGCGCACAAATAAAAACGCGTGTTGACCTTGGCACCAATCTAGGTTTACTTTATCTGTGATATTAATTTCTCTTTTGTTTATTTTACTCAAAAGGTTAATTCTAACCAGTGTTGCCGTAGTTATAAAAAGTGTGTTTCCTTATGAAAAATAAAAATTTTGATTTTTTAATTATAGAACATTTTATTCTTACCTACTTTTAATATACAATTACTGCTTTTTTTACCAGGGTTAGGTTTGCTTACGTTTATTGGTTTACATTTTTAATAAACAAATGTAATTAAAAAATATTATATTTTTCAAATAATAAAAATTGTTACCTTCCGAGTTTGAATTTAACTTGGGTTTGGTGTTTTACATATACTTGATAGAGTGAAAAACGAAGATATTCAGAGAGAAAAGGAAATTGAACTAGACGTAATAGACAATTAAAGTCTAATAGTAAAATTGACTCAACCGCTACAACAAACGAGAAAGGTCCACATATAACTCCCCTTGTGTTTTCCATGTCCGCCTATATTGAGCTATTCGATGTTAGCTTCTCAGTCTTTTTTTAAATGTAGTCCATCTTTTTTGTGGTCGTTCTATGCCTCGTTTTTGTGCTATTTGTTGCTATTTGCGGTTTATCTTTGTGGCAGTGTTAATTTCAGATTTGAAGAGCGCTTTAAAGTATATAACTTCGTTAATTGCTTATGTGACAACGTTAGAGCGTGTTTTATTATTATTGATATATAACAATATTGATATCAGTATAGGCAAGTATTAGTTTTTAACTAGTGTCTAGAGCCTGACCCATTATTCTGTGCAGACTTGCGCAGTTCATTTGTATCCACATCTGAATGTGACAATGAGGTTTATGTGTATTGTTGATTGCATAAGAATAACTCTAAAATTAATTGTAAATAATAGCAAATCAAAATTAAAGGTTTTTTAAAACAGTTTTAAGAAACACTTTTTCGCGTTTTTTCCAATACAATTTTTTTATTTTATATACAGGATGTTGACTGATGTTATATATCAATTACTATGATACCAACTTTCTTATTTTAAATGAAACATTGGTTAGGTATATTATAAATATTTTTTTGGATTATGCACAATATTCCCAGAACTTTGACATATTGCATGTTATAGTTTTAATTAACTTATTTTAGGATACAGGGTGGTTAATGAATAGATCACTCTCTGCGTGTCTCCTTATGACTGTAAAAAGTTCTATACCTAATTTCAATAAAGAAGAGTGAGTTCATTTTCGTATCTCAACTTGTTTTTAATAATGTATATAGTACCCTATTCTTTTAAAATAGATATTATGTGAAATAAATGAAACCTTCCTATATTTTTACCAGGTGTGAAATGGAATGTACATAGGTAAGTAGGTATCTTAAAGGCTATATATTTAAAAGTTAATATAGAAGGGATTGTGCCTTTAATACATTGTATAATAAAAACAGTTAAATAAAAGCATGGCAATCCAAGATATTGATAAAGTTCTTTGTATTTTATTCAATAACTAAATAAAATACCTGGTGTTCCATCTAAAATAATAAAGTTGGCATCAGTATTTACATGACATCACACTCTGTATAACACATTTTTATTGGAAACATATGCGCAACAAGAAATATTAAAAAAAACAGAGCTTTTCGAGGAACTATTCATCATTGATTTAATAGATAGATATTATAAACCTCATTGACACATTCAGAAATGAATACAAATGAACTGCGCAAGTCTGCACAGAATAGTGGGTCAGCCTCTAGACACTAATTTAGTTTTATATTGAACCGGTGGATGTGATTTGTAACATACGTTTTTTTTTTTTTTTTCGAGGGCTAGATTGAACAGTATAGAGACAAGAGACTCCCTGCACAGCCTATTATTTGTTTTAAAAAATTTATGAGAATTTTCCGCATATTCGTACTCTACATTGAACTTTTTCAATGTTCAATGTAGAGTACGAATTTCTATGACCTATAACTCGTTATTACCGAGCAAATTTGGTACTAAAATGTTCGTAATAAAAATCTGCAGAACATTTAATATTTTTTTTTTATTGGGGTGGGGGATCATGAAAATAAACATGAAAAAAGCAAAAAATTTTGATTTTATAACTTTATTAAAATGTTATATATCTGACTCGTATCTGATAAATAGAAACTTTTTAAAAGAAAATTTCATACTTACAGATCTGTTTCTCTAGTGTGTCTTTTTAAATGTGATTTCAAACTACTTGCTTGAGTAAATTGCTTCAAACAAATTTCGCATTTGTAGGGTTTGTCTTCATTGTGTGTTCTCAAATGTAATTTCAAATGACTCGCTGTGGTAAACTGCTTGAAACAAATTTCGCACTTGCAAGGCTTTTCTCCAGTGTGTATTCTCAAATGCAATTTCAAATTAGCTGCCTCAGTAAACTGTTTAAAGCAAATATCACACTTGTAAGGCTTTTCTTTAGTATGTGTTCTTAAATGTGATTTTAAATGGCCCGATGTAGTAAGCTGCTTGAAACAAATTTCGCACTTGTAAGGTTTTTCTCCAGTGTGAATCATTACATGTGATTTCAAAGTACCGACTTGAGTAAACTGCTTCAAACAAATTTCGCACTTGTAGGGTTTTTCTCCAGTGTGAGTTCTCAAATGTAATTTCAAATGACCCGTTGTGGTAAACTGCTTGAAACAAATTTCGCACTTGCAAGGCTTTTCTCCAGTGTGTATTCTCAAATGCAATTTCAAATTAGTTGCCTCAGTAAACTGTTTAAAGCAAATATCACACTTATAAGGCTTTTCATCAACGTGTGTTCTTAAATGTGATTTCAAATGACCCGATGTAGTAACCTGCTTGAAACAAATTTCGCACTTGTAAAGTTTTTCTGCAGTGTGAATCATTACATGTGATTTCAAAGTACCGGCTTGACTAAACTGCTTCAAACAAATTTCGCACTTGTAGGGTTTTTCTCCAGTGTGCGTTCTCAAATGTATTTTCAAATGACTCGTTGTATTAAACTGCTTGAAACAAATTTCGCACTTGCAAGG